GAAATACTGCAAGGATATTAAATATTTTGCATAATACAGTTGTAAGAGAATTATTATTTTCCACCAGACTTGAAAAACTACAATAAAACCAAAAGGCACACCACTTGTTAAGTGAGTTTTAGCGCATTTTACAACTTTGCTTGCTACATTTGTTAAGTGAATCACTGCAGCTGTTAAATTAGTAACACAGTTGTTAAGTGAATCTGGTTTCCCCATTGACTTTGCCTGTCAAAAGGTCACAAAAGGAGATCACATGACTCCAGGACACTGCAACCATCATTAATGTGAGTCAGTTGTCAAGCATCCAAATGTAAATCACATGACCATGGAAATGCTACAATGGTCGTGTGAAAAAGGTCATAAGTCACTTTTTTCACTGATGTAACATTGAATGGTCACTAAATGAACTGTTGTAAGTCGAGGACTACCTGCATAGATTAACACTTCTCAACTTATGCACATATAGTCAGACATTATTCATAGCGATACTTTGATGAAATTCATCTTGATTTTTTTATAGATAATTACATTTTACTCTCTGCTTCAAGAGTTGGATACTTTACATGCAGCCATAGAGTATCAAATATTTGGGCAATAGTTTAGTAATAAACACTAATAATAAACAGTATAGACACTTACATCTTCCAGAGATAACTGTTGGCAAAAAGAAAAAAATGACGTTTAGCATCTAGGTCATAACTTTGCAATATACCACATATATAAAATGCTATGCAGTTCACCCAATATAATGTTTATTAACAATCTTTTCTTGATACCACTGTTTCAGTATTAATGAACAAGATATATGTTGTTCAGAAATGGAAAAAATATTTAAAAAACAATCATTAATTAAAGCTTTAATTATTATTATTATTAATAATAATAAATTTTATTAATTATTACTCTTACATTCTCAGGCCTCAGTCTTTACTATTTGAGGGCTTCCATTAAGGCTCTGAGTCAATCAATAAGGTACAAAAAGTGTAACTTCCTCAATGATTTTGCTATATGTAATAAATATCTTCCATTACTATCCAATCAATAGGGTGCAAACATAAGTGTAAAGTAAACTCATATAAAGTATGACCTGAAAATATTAAATTTTAAATATTAAATTAGTAATATTAATATTATAACATCTTTCAGCTGTTTTGATTATGGTATCATAATGTGATGTTAATTAACGAAGACTGTAAATTATGGTGTGTATTTTTCAAGGTAAAAACAAAATGCTATATTTAGTACCTTGCTCATAACTTTGCAATTCACCACATATAACATTTACTTATTCTGAAAGCAGTATAATATTTAACCTGCCCAGAGGTGGGTTGCTAATTTTTTTACTACTGGTTTGGGCATGGGCACGGGAATCTTCTGCGCATGCGCAGAAGCGTCTGGGTAGGTGGGCGGAGCCTCCCGCCACCACTACTACCAGTTCGCCTGTGATCCGTGACAAACCGGCAGCAACCCATTTCTGGACCTGCCTCAAGAGTTGGATATTTCTCTTATTTACATGCAGTCATATAGATTTGTTATTTTGATCCTGTCATTCTAACAAAAGCAATTTTCATTGGTTGATGCAAGAAAAAATGTTTTTTTCATTATTAGCATTTTAGGTGTTAAGATCAAAACCTGGTGAAGCCTGACAAATGCACAATGGCATTAACACATTAATCAGTTTTCAAATTCTGGTACCTTTTACATAAAGTAAAATGATAAAATAGTGCACATAAAGATGTTGGCTTTTTAGAGTTTTTTAAGCTGTTTTACATGTATGTTTTGTTCTTGACTTACGTTCTTGACTTATAGTTACTATGGGTGGAGAGAGAAAGAAAAAGGGGAAGAGGGAGAGGGAGGAGAGAAAGGGGCATATAATCTTTTTTTTTATATTGCAGTTTGCTGAGTATTACTTCTCATAGTAGGTCAATTTCATCCATTTAAATAAAATGATTCTAAGTAGACTCCTCAATCAGAGATGATATGAACTGCATGGTTCTTAAATGCTAACTACTTAATTTAAGACCATATGTATAAAATATTAATTTCCATAAATATGTAAAGGCCGAAAAACTTTTATAGCATTTTGTGCATAACGTCATGCAATGTATATACTGTATATCTTTCAGTTTAAACTGAAATTATGAAACAATTACTATACTGAAAAAGCCTGGTTTCCTTCTCAAACTCATATAACATTATCTTCATTATTAAATATTTATTTTTATGCTTCAGAATTCTCACTAATCTATTCTCACATGTAGGCGAGTCTTTTATTGAGAGCTGCAAAACTCAATATTAAAACAGTTTCCTTTTTCCTCTCCTATCTCTTACAAACCCAGAAAGGTTTGTGTGTTCCCAAAGAAGTAGCCTTATACATCCAGAATCCTAAATAGCACATCTATGCAACATATAGCTGTGGTGGCACAGAGGCTGGAATGCAGTATTGAAAGCTAATTCAGATCATTGCCAAGAGTTCTGTCCTGACTGGCTCAAGGGCTGATTCAGCCTTCCATCTTTCTGAGATCAGTAAAATGAGGACCCAGATTGTTGACTTTGTAAACTGTACTACAAGTGCTATAAAGCACTATGAAGCAGTATATAAGTCCAAGGGCTATTGCTTTGCTCCCTCGTAACCTTTATACTTACCAGGCATCCTCTCTATAAATTTCCTCTGCTTCTCCATCATCCATTCATTTTTCAACACTTACAAGAAAGCACTCACTAGGAAAATAGAATACCATTCCATTTACACATCACTATTAAGACTGTTGAGTGGGCATGTTTGTATTAAGATAAAAAGTATCTGGTTCAAAATGTGGTGGCTCACATGGTTTTCTGCAAGGCTAGATTTGCATATGTGTCATCTCTTTTGCCGGATCTGCACTGGTTGTTGGTTTGCTTCCAAGTTCAATGCAAGGTGTTGATTGTCATCTTTAAAACCCTGATCTGCAGCCTGGTTATTCAAAGGACCATCTTTTCTCAGTTATAATGATTCAACCCATCAGAATGAAGACGTAGGGATATATTGGGTCCTTCTCTTAAAGGAGGGTCATCTGATGGGACCAAGGCGAAAGGCCTTCTCCATGTGGCTCCCTCCCTGTGGTACATCATCGCTGCATATATAAGATTGGCTCCCACTCTGACACTCTTTCAAAAGGCAACCTAAAGACCTGGTTTTATCAATGGGCCTGGAGATTCCAGGATGATATGGAGCTCATCAAGTGGATGGTTGGGTTCTTTGTCACCAAAGGGATGGTGTTTATTGAGTTTTGTATTGGGGTCTTATTTCTGCAAACTACATAAAGTCACTGTGAGTTGGGCAGCCATATAAATTTTCTAAATCAATAACTATACAGACTTGTGCATTGTAATCATATGTACTTTACCTGTTGCAATTACTATGACTTTCTAAATGTACTGTATATTAATAAATCAGCATATGCAGTTTTGCTGAAAGTTGGAATCATCTCTTCAGACACAATTATAATTATCACTACACATTTAAAGTAGAAATAACATTTTTGTTTCCACAGGCTTTCTGGTCAGTACTTCAGTACATTGAATCCTCAAGGTATTCACTTCAAAAGAATAACAGTGTATGTCTTGCAGTGCTCATTAGGTTACCAAGATACTAACTACCAAACAACTTACAGAACTACATCTTTAAAAACATGCAGTAGTTAAGAGCTGGATTATTCAAACCATGTAAAAATTAAGTGGTTTTTCTCCCTCTCCTGTACAGATTACAATATTTTCTTGTTTATTCTACAGCTCTACAGTTGCCCAAAAGATGCAATTTTTTAAAACAGTGCAAAAGGTTCATGAAACAAGTATTTATTTTGAATGTCATTTTAAAATAAACATTTGTCTTTTACAAAAAGAAGATTGTTGTTTTGACATCTTAGAAAACAAAGGTTCCTGTAAGATCCCAGACAGCAACTTTTTTTGTACATGACTTATATTTACAGACTTTATAGTCAGGCTGTTAACAATTATCCTCTGGGAAGATTATAATCCAAAACAAAACAGAACAATTGGTACAACAGCAATTATTGCAGATGTTTCAAAGAGACATGAAGTAGTAGTGATGGAAAGCTTCAAGATAGCTACTAGAAACTAAGCTCTGCTAAATATGGTTATTCTGCAGAATTCCCACTTTTCTTACCGATGTCTTTCCTCTCAGAGGATGAAGAATAGATGTTCCTGACTTGACGCTAACCAACAGGGAATACTTACATTGTTAAACAAGAGAGCAGCAATACCAGAAGGCTCAGGGTAAAGCAGTCATATAATGACTGGATTATATCAGGATAAATCCTGATTTTAAAGAAACCAAAGCTGAATGTAATTGAATGCAGGCTCCAGTTTTAAGAAACCACATTCCAACAAATTCAAGCAACGATAAAGGATTCCATGGCAAGAGCAGCTAATTGGAAAAGGAGCTCAAGATTGGTGAAAGTTTCTAAGGAGATATTAAAAACACAGCTGGAAATATCATAATGAGCAAAAGAATGTAGGGCAGTAGAGGCAGCCAAAGTAACTGCACAAAAGATTTACTGGAGCCCTGAAATATTTTTTTAAAGATACCTATATGAGATGAAAAGAGGAAGATTATGTACTGAGTGAGGATTGTAGAAACGTATCAGAAGAGTTACAGCTTCAAATCAGATGAGATTCATAAAGAATAAAAAAAACCAAAAGGATTTCTTTAGATATCTTCAAAACAAAAGGAAGAAAAAAAAATCAGTACATAGCTGCTCAGGAAAAATGAAAAACTACTAACAAGTAAAAAAGAAGGAACTATTCAACTTTTTTTTTAATTCAGTCTTCTCTAAGAAGAGGGCATGTGTTCCATGAGGCAATTGTAAGGAAACGGAAGAAGAGGCAGAAAGAAGATGAGATTGATAGAAACCCAGTCAAAGAATACCTACTTACGGCAAATGAATTTTAAATCTTCAGGACAAAATGAACTGCCTTATTAGCATTAAAGGAAATAGCTAATAGTTTAGATATAATCTTTATATCTTCTCTGAGCAAACTTGAAGAACACTGGGAAGGAAAATATCCCTATGCTCAAAAGAACAATAAGAAACAAAAGATAAAACTACAAACTAATCACTCAGACGTTAGTCCCTGAGAAAATTCTGAAGTTCATATTGATGCTGAGTACCATGCAGTAAATATCAATAGTCAGAATGTTATCAAGAATAAAACTTGAAAGCTTAATTTATATTTTCATTGGGTTACTTCCCTGAAAGATTATAGAGAATGCTATACAGGTGGTCCTTGGCTTTCAACAGTAATTGAGCTCGAAATGACAATTGTAAGTTGTGCCAGTCATTAAATAGGTCACCACATAACTGCACCCGATTTTACAACGTTTTCTGCAGTGGTCATAAATTGAATCCATTGTCCATAATGGACATTTTTTGCCAGAAACTGGAAGTAAATACTGAGCACCCAAAATATGATCTCGTGACTATGGGGGGAGAATGGGACCAGCCATCAGAACTTTAAATCTGGGTCATCAGTAGCACTGGAAGATCTGCTGTAACTTTACAGGTAAACTACCTGTAGTTATAATATAATTTGATTTCAGCAAAGCATTTAGCGCCCATGACATTTAGTCTGATTAGCAACTAAATATGCCCAGGTTGGATGGCATGATAAATACATGAATAAATTGCTGAAAAATTACACTCAAAGAATATTAATGTTTGATTCCTCATCAAACTAGAATGACATATTGACTAGGACAAGCTTTGCCCTGTGATTAGGAGAGGAGAAAGAGGGCTTGCTTTTCAGTCATTTGCAGCTAATATATTATTGGTTGAGATAGCTAACATACTGGAAGATAGAAATACAATTCAAAGTGTGGATGATGAGGGGCAGCAGAGGGCATAGTGAGGAGGGTGTTTGCAGGGCAGAATGTAAGGCAGCCAAAAGGGCAGAGATGGGGAGAAGATGGGCAGATGGGAGGACTTGCAGCACCTCTGAAGTTTTAAATGTGGGCAGACTGCCAAAGGTTAAAATCCTGATCATGTGATTATGAAGGAGCATAACTTTTCAGAACCAGTCATAAATACCATTCGTTCAGTCATAAATACCATTCATTCAGCACTATTCTAATTTCAAATAGTTGCTAAACTTTAAATTTTAAACTTTAAAATTTCCATTTAAAAATTAAAAACAATTCTCAATCATCATGATGGATACCAGTCACACATCTATAAAAGTAATAATTTGAAGCTCAAGAACTTCCAAAATCATCCCCTCTCTCAGTATGTTGCAAATAAACACTATTGCTAAATGAAAAAGATCAGTGTAGGTTCCCAGAAATGTATTTTCTTGAAGTGGTGCTTCAAGGTTTTGGACTAAATCTACATTAAGTAATATTAAGTGTATTGATAACCCCAGACTTTGAAAAAAAATACTATTTCAGGATATATTCAAGAGATAGAACTGTTTATAATAAGTTAAAAGTTCCAATTTAAATTATTATTTTTTTAAATTACATGCATACTGTTAAATGTTTTGAATATTTCAGTGTCAGAAAGTTGTTCTATTAGAGAAAAGGTACATAAAAATAGCAATTATGATAAACATGGAGCAGTCACTTTAGTTTCCCTAGGAAAGATATATCCTTTGGGACATCTTAGCTGAGAAAAAGGCAGCTAATATGATATAGCTTTGGAAATAATTAATTACGTAACTACATTATCCAAAACCTACCAAAACCTACCGATATTCAAAATAATAGAAAACAACTTTTTAACACTTGTCACAAATTAGACAGCTAATTAGACATTAGTAATCATGAAGGCTATATAGAATTTCCAGTTTTCAAGTTAATGAAAGTACTGCTTATTGACAACAAAGAGTATTGGCTATTGATGAATGTGGTAAATAGTTGCAGAACTTGGTATTCATTTAAGAAGTGAAATGTGAAAAAGACACAATTTGAGGACAAGCTGAAAGAGATGTTGGGGCAATTTGTTAATTATTGCCTTAGATTATATAGTAAATAGACATCTAATTACTGATGAGTATTTAGATTCAATGCTAAACATAAAATTCACAGAGCAATAAGAGGAAAATCTTATTTCATTAATAACAGAAGATGAAACCAAAGAAGCAAGTCAGAAATTGAAATTGAATTAATCTCCAGGACTTGATGGTATCTCTGCAGTATACTCCAAGACCTTTCAGTGAATAATATTTAAATTTTTAATCCAGGTAATGAACAAGATCCAATGCCAATTTGTTTTATCAAGGACAGCAGTTTTTATTTCTTAGTCTTACAAATTATCTAATTTGGTGCTAAATTGCATATGTAATCTATTAGAAAGAGGATAAATTATCTTCTAATTGAGTTAGAAGAAAATCAGACATCATACCATTCCTTTAAAAGCTTGCAAAGCATATATTTCTAAATACTAATGGAATTTAGCTGAGCCAATGATGAACAAAATTTTATAGGGAAACCACTTTAAATCCTATTTAAAATTTTCTTTAAAAAATTAAAAACAATTCTCAATTATCACAAATCACTTAGACTCAATCAAAATGATTTTTTAATCCCAAGTACGATAACTGGTAGTAAACATAAATATAAGTGATAAGTATTTAAGTGCTCATCTTAAAAAAATTTCAATGCTACAACTGAAGCAATAACAATGGAAAGAATTCTAAGAAAAAAGTATCTAAATAATCCAACAATGTGCATTACTTTTTAGTTTCATCTAAATTTCAGGCTACCTTTCCATATTATGTAAATGAGTACGTTATATAGTTAGATTCACACAAAATAGTCATTTAAATTACAATACTTCTCTTTATTTTTAAGACACATTTCATTCTATCGCACTTTGTACCAAATAGAGTAGACATTATACTGTATTTGCTTAGTGTTCTCAATATTTTATTCTTTAAAATCTTTTCTTTAGTGAAAAAAAGACAGAGTAAGTATAAAACTAGAGCAGAATATATTTGAATATTAAAATAATTCTACCATAAATCAGGGGTAGACAAATGGTTTATACCAGTAGTGGGATTCAAAATGTTTTATTACTGGTTCTGTGGGCATGGCTTGGTGGGCATGGCAGGGAAAGGATCCTGTAAAATCTCCATTCCCTCCCCACTCCAGGGGAAGGTTATTGCAAAATCCCTATTTCCTCCGGATCAGCTGGGACTCGGGAGACAGAAAATAGATAGGTCAGAGGTGGCATTTACCACTTCTCCGAACTACTCAAAATTTCCACTACTGGTTCTCCAGAACTGGTCAGAACCTGCTGAATACCACCTCTGGTTTACACCTCTGTTTCCCCTGATTGTGCAGCCAAACGTCAACAGTTAAGTCAATGCCTCACAATATATAAAATATAATTATATAGGACTCAGAAATTGCCTGTTTCAACTTCTGTCATTTTACAATAGATGGTAAGAGCCTTCAACAGCCACTATCATGGTCTGTCAACACCCTGTCAACACAAACCACTTTGCAAAGCTGTTTTATTTCTTGATGCAGATTAATATAGCATGTAATAGTCTGGGTGTGCTAGTCATAGTCAGTTCAATAAATTTACAATTTAGTGCAAATTCCCTGGCTTTGGAGGAATATCCATGACCTCTAGTCCCAATTTCCAGGAGCCCACTTCAGCAATATAAAGCAGTAGATAGAAGTCTCATATAAATTACAGTATGGGAAACAATTTTGATGTTATACCTGCATGAGAAACTGAGCAGAGTTACCATGTTGGTTTGTAAAATGTCAAGTCCCTCAAGTATCCAGGCTATAACGCTTCACAAGATCATTAGAGGTAGCAAAGATTAATAGAAAGCCGTATCTTTGCTTCCTTCTAGTGGTGATCTGGAAGTTTGCATCTCAGAGATGGGAAACCTAGCTTGATATAGAGCAGATAGCAGGAGCACAGGATGCAACAGCTGTAAAAATAGCATCTATTAATCAGACTGGTTTGAAATTCAGTTTTCTAGATTTTTGTTTTTAAAATCTCTCTTTAAAAATTAGAGCATATTGTTGGGCTCAGACAGCACATTATTAACTTTTGCTGCATGAGCAAACAAAATCAGAACAGACTGAAATCTAAATCAATAAAAGTTTCTTTTGTTTGTACTTCAAGTGTAATAGATTCATATTAATATGTAATATACATTACCTCGTTATTAATTTCTGCAGGTCTTTTCTTTGGCTCTCCAATATCCAAATAACTGAAAAACAAGAAAACAAAATAGGTTATTTACTAATACGAAATGCAAAAAAAACCTATATTTACAAGAATATACTTTTTCTTGACTTATACTTTCTTATTTTCATGTTTTTTCCTAATAGCCAGTTAAAACATTATACCCATGTGAAAAAACTCATTTCTTAGTAGGCTGTTAGGAATATTTCTTTATGTTTTTTAGTTATTACAAAAGTTTGACAAATTTGGGTGGCTCTGCAGTGCATTCACTAAACATCTGCTTAACCAATAAACCACATTATAGTGATTATAAGTTCAATATGATTTATGATTCCAGCAAATAACAGTGACAAGGAATTAATATTATATAATAACAGGGTTATGCTACATTTTAGGATATTTTCTTGTCACTTTAATAAACATTACACATTCTACAAATTCTACGTATATGAAAGTCTATATTCTACATTTTTAAATATTTATACAACTCTTTTCTAACCTTATGAGATTAAATTTTTAAACATTCATTTCAGTAAATTCTAAAACAATAAAATATATCAAAAGTAAAAACACAATCATATAAGCAATTATTATATATAAATGTATACTTCTAAATTGGTGTGATGTACTATACTTGCTTAATTTAAAAAGTACAATTTTCTGCAGAATTTGGATTTTTTTTGTTAATAATTGATTAGCCATGGGAGAAGTTTATAGGCAATAATGTTTAAACCATAGAGAATGCAAACGGCTGGGATGGAACTAACGAAAGGTGTGTGTGCATGTGCGTATGTGTGTGTATATATGGTACATATATATTACCTCTGACATTACTTTATTAACACATATTAGAAGAACACAAGAACATCAGCAAATTTTACTTCTAAAAGCAGACAACAAAGAATAAACTTATACTAAAGCATACCTGTTTTCTAAACTCATATTGATTTACATTATTTTACAATAAGCCTCACTTCTACTACCCATAATGAATTATGGGAATTATAGTTTGGCTTCAATGCTGTAAATGTTCTGTTAATGATCCATGAACTTTAATCAGGAGTAGATTGCATGGCAAGCTGAGTCTGTCATATCAGTGTATTCCACACTACTGTAACCAGTCCTCCTTTGTCTTTTAGTCACTCTAGTATATATATTGAGGTAGATAATGTGACACCTTTCAGATATTTATGACTAGATCTACAAACTCTTTTTTTAAATTGGTCATGGTAACTGTAAGTGAGGACCACTGACATTAAGAATTCCAAATGGCTTGCTTCTGAATGGTAGCTTTAAATCAAAATTCAATTAATCAGAATTGTTAATGATATTGGAATGGGACTTTTCACTTAAATTTTCCATCATTTCTGAAAGAAAGAAAAAAATGTATAGGGAGATAAAGAAACACAGAGAAAGCCTGGGAAACTGAGCCTACGAACCATTGTTTTAGTTAAAACAATGGTTCACAGATTTTTAGTTAAATCTAATAAAAAAATGCTTTTACCCTCTCCTTGGAGGGCTTGTATATAAAAGATAGCACATTTCACTTGCTCTATCATGTTGGTTGGATAAACATATGACTACTTACTTTAGTTTTTTGAAAGCTTCTCTACCACCTGCAACGTAGTGCTCTCCACTTTGAATCTCATCTAGCTGACGAATGCGATGTCCACCACGGGGTGTATAAATATTCCGCACAGCTCCAAAAGGAGCATTCACGCCACCTGTCACTTCCTTTAGAAAGACATCAAAACTGGACACTTTCTTCTCATGGATAACAACACGTCGGCCAGGGAAGAAAGGGTCTCCATTGCGATACACCATCACACTCTTCACCACAGGTTGTGACAGACATGTTGGCTTGGCACTGGGACTACTCATAGCCGCCTTTGCACTCTCCTGTCCTGGGTCTTGTTGGTAATGAACACAGTGGTTTGTCAACCTGTAGATTTAAGAAGAATATAATTGATTTTCTTTCACTGTTTGTCTCTTTGAATTCCAGTTTTGCAGTATAGCCACTACATACACACCCACAGCACGACTGGCACGCCACAGCAACTGCCAATAGTATTTCTATTTCTAAAAAAAACAGGGAGGCTCTTAAAGTCTCCCAAAGGTTTTAGTTCCATAGCAGTTCAAAGAGTCCTTCTGCTAGGCAACCAATTCTTGCCAGTCTCTTAAGAATAGTAAAGTCATCACGATTTCTTTCTCCTACATATTCACACAATCTAAAGATGCAAAGCAGAAATGGTTATTGCCTAGTGAATAAACCACATTCCTCCTCAACTCTGGTGTTATGGAAGCCCCAGAAAACCCACTTTTAAAAATATTTCACTTAAGTATCACATGTTCACTCCTTTTTTTTTTGTTCATTCAGTTCTGTTTTCCTCATTTTCTTCACTTAAAAAATAAATAGCCATGAAGTGTCTGTCTAAATGAGCCTACCATGAAATTCAGAGGATAAAGGAAATTTTATTATCAAATGTTAAAAGGCATGCGTAAGTTACAGTAATTTTAAAAGCAGCTGGCAGAAGCACAAAAAGAAATGTCAGAATATAGAAAAACCATATAAGGTCAATATTTGGGAGGTGCCAAATGTTATTTAGAAAATGTTCATATGAAATTTTTCAATGGAATAAAAAGTTGAATGAGACATTAGCATTCTTTACAGCTTCTACTGAAAAGATTAAACAATAAGCAGAGAGGGACAATCTTAAAAGTGATTTCAATTATGCAATACACCTATACTGAAATTAAAGGCTACCACGGTTCCCAGCATGTTAAAATGCCACTCCGAAAATTGATTATTACATTGAGAAGAAAAGTTTTTTGTTATCAAATTATATTAGCAGAAAGGGGTGCTTTTTTTTTTTTACAAAGAGAAGCATTAAAAATTGTGAGTCCCCTACATATAACCCTCCAAATTTATCATACACTGAATCACCTCAAGATCACTATATTTCATTCCTCTGTCCTTTGGTTTCAAGGTACCTGTATGTGGCTATAGTTTCACTCCATTTTGGCCCATTTCATTCATTCAGATTTTGTCCTCTGCCACCTGAGTAAGGTAAGTGTCCAACCTGCTAGTCCAAACTTCTGTCTAGTTGTTGCAAAGATGTGTCTTACATACATTACACAGGCACACACCCCTAAGGGTACACCAGGACTAAGGTTGCTTTGGTTTAAGTGCAATATTATTATATTTTCAGCATAATCCAACCACCAAGATATTGAGCTCTTTCTTTTTCTTTCTTTCTTTCTTTCTTTCTTTCTTTCTTTCTTTCTTTCTTTCTTTCTTTCTTTCTTTCTTTCGAACCCTCACCACCCTTCAGGCCTTCCGCAAAGCCCTTAAAACCTGGCTGTTCCGACAGGCCTGGGGCTAAAGAGTTTTTGCCCCCCTTCTCGAATGGAATGGTTGTTGTGTGTTTTTAAATTTTGTATTGTTATGTCTTGTCTTTTTTTATCCCCCTGTCTGTACCCCCTTCCCTGATTGAATTGTGAGCCGCCCTGAGTCCCCTTGAGGGAAAAGGGCGGCATATAAATGTAATCAATCAATCAATCAATCAATCAATC